TTCTAGGAAGGGCCCCTCTAGGGGGCCAACAATAAAGATGGAGGATATGGGCGTGAAAACTTCCCTCAGACCTGCCTAGGTGTCGGAAAAGCCACTCTAACTCTCCAACATACCGTTTTACAGGGATTACGCAGTTTTGAGTAAGCAAGGAGGCATCATCATTTCAATTGGCTCTTGCTTGTTCCTCTATCACTTACTAAAAGCCTGTGAGAGTAAGCCTTGAATCAGTTTGCATGCATTTTTTTCCCCAAAATTATGTTTGTAGTCTTTCTGATCATAAAAGAAAAGAAAAATTCAGTATATTAATTTACAAAGAATATAGAAAAATATAAAGGGGAAAAATCCCAGACGTATTACATTTTCCCTTCCAAGCCTTTTCCTAAATATACATCTATATACATTTTAAGAAAGCTGATATCATACTTTATATTCCATTTGGTATCCTGTTCTGTTAGTGCATTATTTCACTACATGACTAAATATTTTTAAAATTAAAAAAAATTATTATGTAAATCAACCACAATTTGTTCAACCTAATATTAAAGGATATTTAGTGTTTTCCAAAGTTTTCTATATTATAAACTCTTTTTTGTCTTTAAAAATTAAATCTGAATGTCACTGGTATTTCACCATAATTGATAATATTAGCTATTTTTAATACTCATCCTTTATCATATTTAGAGTATACTACTTCGTGATATTCCTTGTTTGCTAATAATTTGAATATCAGAAATGAGTCTTGAGTATTTCAGAATGACAGTTTGTATCCTTCCTGTTTCTCAGACCAAAAACATAAAGTTGTTTGTGTCCTTCTTTCTTTTTGAACCCTCACACTCACTCATCAGTAAATCTGCTCAGCTCGTGCTTCCTCACACACAGACTCTGACTACTTCTCCACTGTCCCATCATCTAGATTATTACCGCAGCCTCTAGATCTCACTGTTTTCACTTTTACCAGACTACATTCTGTTCTCCTTCACAGTGGCCAGGCTTCTCCTTTTAAGATAATTTGGACCATTCATAATTTTTGCTCACAATCTTCTGCTGGATTTCCATCTAATCACTTAGTCCTCAAGGCTCTGTCTTCTTTGCTTCTGTTGCTTGGATTTGGGCAGATCTACCACTCCCCCCTTGCACATCCACTCAAACCATCTTGGCTTTCCTGCTGTTTTCAGTACACCAGGCAGAGTGCTGCCTCAGGGCCTTTGCACTTGCTGTTAATTCTGCCCAGAACGCTTCCCTCCTTCATATCCACATAGCTAGCTTACTCATCTTCCTCAGGATTCTGCTTGAGTGTCACTTCAGTGCAGCCTCCTCTGATCATCCTATTTAAAATGGCAGTTCTTATCACCCTTCCTGCTTGATTTTTCCCCACAACTTTTATCAACACTGAACATACTCTTTTTTTCTTTGTGCCTGTATGCTGCCTGTCCTTCTCCCGTTAGCATGGGAGTTCCACAAGGGCATCCACAGCATCTGTGACAGTACCAGGCAAAAAGATAGTCAACTGATTTCAACGGAACTCAACTCAACTCAAATGTTTGGTGAATGAATGACTGTTTTGTTTTTTTACGGGAGTGGAGCTACTGATGTGATGTATTATAGGATTATATTTCATAATATTAAACCACTTTCATATTTCTAGAAGAAACTTATTTTGTCACACTGAATGATTCTTGAAAAGTATTTTTGCAATTAGATTTGCTTGGCTTTTTAAAATCTGTATGCGTAAGAGATGTTTGTATTATGGTTTTCTTATTTTTTCTGGTGGTTTTTTTTTTTTTTAGGACTTGATACCAAAGTCATCTTAGCATCATAAAATGACATGGGCAGCTTTCCATCTTTTCCCCTATTTCTAAAGCAGCACCCAGTGCATGTATCATGCCAGTTACCTATTTGTTGAAAGTATGAAAGAACACACTAGTAAACTTATTGGGTCCTGAGGAGGATTTTTTATAAGTAATTTTTTTTACATTTTTTACATTTTCCAGTTTTTGATATATGGTTAATGATATAGTAAGGTTGTAAGATTTTTCAGGATTTGCATGTTCCCCCCAAAAATTACTTTATAAGAATGTTCTAATATGTAATAATAAAACTGTTTTTGTTATTATATTTTAAATGTCTCTCTATTTGGTGTTATATTCTTATTTTCATTAGCAGTTTTCTTGAAATATTGTTATTCCTTCTTTGTCCCTGTGAGATCTTTCAGAGGCTTCTCTATGTTACTTTTAAATAAAAATAGTTAAATTAAGATTCTTTATATTCTATTATTAATCTATTAACCTAACAAATAGTAACAATCTTCTTAAAATTCAAATACAGCAATAACCATATTTCTCAATAGAGAGCATATATGCTATTCCACACAATCCCCATGAATGTATAAAGTGTTGTTCATTTAATAAAACAAGAACAATTCAGCTCGTCTTGTCCTTATTCTCTAAAGTCTAAACCAATATGTTCATATGGATCTTCTTGCAGATGTATGAATCTACTTGTCCCTCCTACTTTTTTCTCATCTCAGTTTCTGGTCCTGAGATTGTGTTGAAGTATTTTTCTCCTTTCTTTTCAGGTTTCCTCCTAAGTTTTTTCCAGCTCTTTATTTCCCACTCTTCCCCCTTCTGCTCCCCATTTCCCTTTCCATGACTTTGATCTCGACCCATCTATATCTTCTCCTTTTCCTTTAGGCCACCTAATGCTATATTTTAACACCTAATTCTAGCCAGCAGTATCTTGACTGGCAGAGGAGTTGTTTACCTTATTAGGAGTTGTTTTCGAAATGTGGGCTCCTGGGAAAGTATCACAGTGTCTTTGAACTTGATCTTGTGATGTGATCTTGAGTGCCTACTTAGTTCAAGGGAGGTCCTAAAGACTAAGTGAAGAGACACGGTTACATTTCTTCTGGATTATAGCCATAGACCTTTGGCGTCCTTACTGTTAGCCTTCTGCCTTCCAACTCCCCTGCCCTGTGGCATTGCTACTTCCCCATCCTCTGGGGAGTGAGCCTTCTTGAGCTCTAAAATACCGATAGTATCATTGAAGGTCATCAAAGGTCAAGCCTTCATTTACCTGTTGGAACTAATTATCTGTAGCCCCTCTAGTTGTTTGATACCTTAAAGAAAGTGGATTTTACTGTATCTTTGCTGTTTCCATTAGCTAGAGTTTATCTTTTTCCTCAGAACTCCTATAATTCTTTTATTTATAATTTCTGTTGTTGAACTTATGACAGTCTACTTGTATCTTCTTTATGCCTCTCTCCTTGCCTAAAGTATCATCTTAATAAGAAACAGGAGCATCTCTCCTCTTCTCCTTTTGATCCCTATGGAATTTTGAAAAATGGGATCATCCAGTAAAAGTTTTTCAGTTGAGCTGAAAAACAGAACCAGATATAGTGCCCTGATTGGTTGGAGTTGTCAAGAACAGATTAATTAGGGCTGCAAACTCAAGACAGATATTTACAAGCAGAGAAATTTAAGAGGGTGGGGTTAGAGAGAGAAGCAAGCATGGGAATAAATACCAGGACCTGGAGGGATCTTTTCTTTTTGGGCACAAGGTGGCAGACTATGCCCATTTCGATCACTGCATATAAGGCAGTTTTGTTAGGCTGAAATTTCTTGCCCTTTTTTGGAAATGTATGTTTACTTAAAAAAAGAAAGGAAGGAAGCTAGTCAGTTTGGTGGCTGAAACCTGAGTTTAGCTAAAGCACAGACCCCCTGCCTGACGGTGGGTATGTTTCCAGGACTCTGCTCCTTCCAGTTTGGACTCACCCCACCATGCCTGTGTCTTACAGTAATGCATGGTGGATTTTGAAACATTGAGTCTCCTTTAAAAGGATGAAGAAAATTTGCATAAATATGTATCAACACTCAAGCTGGGGCAGAGGAAATAAAATCTGACCAGAGAATTGAAAGGTAGTTTCTCCACCAGAGAGCAGACAAAGACAGGCGGGCTTCAGAAGGTCCTGCTATAATGAACCAAAGAGAACATTCATTTTTTTTTTAGCAGCTCATTTTTTTTTCTCTAAAATGCCAAGTGTTTTTCATGTGTTCAGACTATTCACGTGTATAGATCTGATATAATCTGGAATACAAGGAGCAGGTTAATTTTAATTCCTTTATATGCAATTTAAATTCTGATGTCATTTTTTCCACTTCATTAACTAATTCTAGTTGTGTGTGTGTGCACCAAATTATCTTTTATAAACAAAAATCAAATTGCTAGGAATACTTTGTTCTGGAATTCTGATGGTGACTAATTTGTTAGGTGATATGTTAAGTCTTCCCATTGATACTGAATTCTTTTGTACTTGAAAGATAGGGAATAAATTAAGGGAAAAAGATAACCCTCGTTTTCAGGTTCACTTAGCATTTCTTTCAGGTTCCCTTTCTCTTTGAGTAGAAGGAGGTAAATCTGAGAAATTGATAACGGTGATTTGTTTCTGGAAGTAAAATTTGCCTTCTAAGAAGTTACGAATGTGCGACATGGGAAAGAGTGTAGAAGGCTCGGAAGCAGGACACCTTCATCAAAGCAGAGGGACTTCAGAGGACAAGGGAAATGCTGGCTAAGGCAGAGTGGGGTGAGAGATGCTTTCAAGCTTTATTCAGCAGGTTGATTTCACAGCACTGCCTTTGACAGATGCAGAACTGATCTTGTCATCTCTTAAATGAAGCACCACAGATGACAGAGTTTTGTTATTGATCATTTATTACAGATTACTATATGAGATATTGTTTGTTTTTATGTCTACAAAGCAACAACAAAGTTTGACATTTACAAACTATTTTTAAATGGCACCTATTCAGATGTTTCCTATTCCATAGAACTTTAATGAATTTTTTCCTTAAAAAGGGCAGCATAACTTCAAATAGAGTTGATAAAGCGTCATAACTTTGGATAGAATTTTATACTCTGACCACTACAATAGCAACAGTCCTCCCCAGGAGGCTGGATTTCTAGGCTCCCTCGGTTCTCTGTTCTGCTCTTCTTCATCTGGTCTGCTCTCAGGTGGCTCTCCTTCACCTGCCAGTCACGGGTGTCTAGGTTCTCGAACCTTCGTCCTGCTGGGAAGGACTAGCAGACTAGTCACCACCGCTCTCACTGGAACTGCCGCTGTCAGATGATTCGCTGCTGTCCTGTCTTTTAGGCGGCCTAAACCTCCTGTGGGAATGGGGTCTTCTGGAGCCCCAGGAGCCTTTCCTTTGAGGCACACCCTTATTCCATGTAGAGTGATTTTGTCCGTGGGCTGCATACTGATTTTTTCCACTGTGTGTTGTTCCAGTCCTCTCGTTATTGGGGCCACCATGGGAACCGATTTCATTTTTAATTTCATTGTCAAGACCGTAAGAGGGAATGAGCTGGCCTGGACTTTTGCCCTTACTTGGAAATCTTTGATTTTCATTTGAGGTCACTTGATTCCTGTTAGGATGCTCTGTTCCTTTTCTGCTACTCCCTTTGCCATTTTTTGGAATTTCATTATAATTAGTACTTTCAGCAACATCACTGCTGCCTTCTTTTCTTTTCTCCTTTGAGGGCACATGAGGGTAATGAAACTCTACTTTCCCTTGGTGAGCATTTTGGCTGCCAGCATCCACTCTGTTTCCTTCTTTTCCAGGGAGTTCCTGAAAATTGGTGCTACCTCTGATGTCGTTGCTGCCCTCCACTAGGCTTACATCCACTGTATTTGCCTCTTGGGCTGTTTCATCCCTGGTTCCAATGGCATTTCTACTACCTTCTGCTTTTTCTGGGATGTCACTGTAACCTGGGCCTCCTGCTTCAGGGTTAATAGTCTCAGGTGCACCTGGGCCAGACAACTCCGTTTGCACACCTGTACCTTCTAAGTCAGGATCAACAGCTTCTCCTTTACCAGAAATGTCCTTAAAAGGTTGGCCATCTCCACTGAAAGGAGAAATATCATTGTCCCCCCTCTCTTGAAGATCAGGATAGCCACTGCCTCCAAAATCACTGGGGATTTTGTTGAGTTTGGGGAACTGCTTTAGATAGCCAGTGTTGTGTTTGATATGGGGGGTACTTTTGCTTTTTACTGAAATATTTGGGGCTTGCGGACCTCTTTGATAATTCTTCTTGCCTTTTGAGAGATTTTTGGCATAGTGTGCACTTGCTGGAATTTTGCCATTAGTATTCCTGGGTTTGAGCTCTTTGTTGTCTTCCCCCAACAGCTTAATTACAGCTTCTGGCTCAATTATATGTTGCATATTATTTCTGTTGAGAGCTGCACCATATTCTTCCTGGTCATGTAGTTTACTGATAACATTGTCTCCATCCTCAGACCCATTATTCCCAGTGGGTTCAGGGTAAATGGGCATCTTTAGGTTATTGTGGGCATTTTCATTGTTACTAATACTGTAGTCTTCATTTATTGTCTGTCTATTTTCAAAAAGATTTGGGGGTTTACTAATTTGGTTATTTTTATTGACTTCAAAAAGGAACAAGTCTTTCTCTCTTTCTTGCACAATGTTTCCTTTAGGTGCTGGATCTTGATTTCTTCTCTTCCCAGAATGGTGAAGACTGATTTTGTTGTTTTCTTCCTGCTAGAGTGTAATTTTTAACATAAACTGATTATTTTATTTTAAATTTTTAAAATCTAATAGTTCTTAGGATATATATATTTAAAACACAACAAGATACTTAATAAAAAAATTCTATTAACTCAATAGAGATGTGTTAGTAGAGCTAATTCTGGAATGGCCCAAGCAGGTTTTAGGAAGAAAGAAGAATGAACAAGGTTGGAAGGATAGGTAAGGTTCAGATACATAGAAAGGAAGTGGTGAGAATATTTTAAGAGTAAATAGCATATGAAAATGTTTGGAAACAGGAAACATTTGAAAGATAATATAAATAAAACTATAATTTTGGAGTCAAGAAATCCTAAGCAGGAGAATAAGAAGTAAATGTGAAAATGTAGATTAAGACCTGATTTTTGAAGGAAGAGAGTGTGGTCCTTATCTTGTGACTAGTGGGTCATTGCACAGGACACAGAGTTCATGTTTTTAAAAGTAATTTCTCTTACATTTGCATATCCATTTCTCCCTCTCTCTTTCAAATACAGTACTGTTCTACTTGGAGGACTGCTTGTTTTTATACGTGTGTCTTATTAATATTTGAAGCAGTGAGGAAATTGTTGAGTCACCTCACACTTGAATCTCAAGATAAAAATGGCTTATGTGACCTTGCATAAAGTGCCCTCTATTTTTATGAAGATGGCTAATGTGCAGCATGCAAGAGTTCCACCTTGTAGTATATTTAAGAAGTAATTAAAAAATGACTTATTTGCCTTGGCTGGTGTGGCTCAGTGGATTGAGTGTGGGCCTGTGAACCAAAGCATCACTGGTTTGATTCCCAGTCAGGGCACATGCCTGGGTTGTGGGCCAGGTCCCCAGTAGGGAGTGTTCAAGAGGCAACCACACATTTGAGTTTCTCCCTCTCTTCCCCTCTCTAAAAGTAAATGAATAAATAAATCTTTAAAAAAAATGAATTCTTTATGGGAGTTATGACATCTTTCTTGAGTAATCCTTTATTTGGCAGGTATATTCTGAAAATAAGATTTTGCAATGAGGGAAAAATAAAATAAAGAAAAATTTATAGTGAATTATTTCTAAATAAGAAGTATTTTAAACATTTGACTTATTTTAAGACATTCAATGCTAGGAAGTTTTACATGAACATTTACATTTTCCTTTGCAATCAAGTTCATTTGCTTATTGCTAATATAGTCTTTTGAGTTAAACAGGTGCATTAGAAAATCGGTAGATTATAATAATTCCTTATTAATTTTTTCCCTCCACACTCTGAAGTGGGAAGTTTTGTTTTATATTTGGTGCTTTTACTGCTTTTAAAACAGTGGCATATATATTAATGAATTGTGTGAATTTTACTTACTAAAGACTGAATAGAATTCTTCAATAAGTGAAAGCATTTTAAAACACTTTTAAATTGTGGTATGTGGTGGTCAATTACTTTTGCATTTGCTCATGTTAAGTGATTAGATTGTATCATTGACTCTATGATCATGAATCAGTTGGCTGGTCTGATTTCCTCTACTCTGCTCTTCTATGTTTATGCCTTCACTCATATTATTCTTTTCATGGAGAATAGACTCTCCCACCCACTTGTTTGGTCAAATCCTACTCACCTTCCAACACTCAGCTCAATTATTTCTATTCTGTAGTTTTCCCTGAACACCGGGCTAGAAACGAATCTTTTTTACTCCAAGACCTAAAGCATGATATTTGGAGTACCACTTATATAACACTTCGCACATCTGTCGTGGGTTAATAGTTTTTATAAGTGCCATTTGTTTCTTTTATTTTTTTTTTCTTTTGTAATTCTAACATCCTGCAGAGAAAGAATTAAGTTTTCTCAATCATTTTATCTCACATGTTATCTTGCAAGGTTGGAAGAGCTCAATAGTTATTTGTTATAACAAGTAAGTTTAACAGGCAGTTAGAGATGCAAGCAGAACAAAACAACATTCTAAAGGTAAACTATAACTTTCATGGGAAGTGAAGCCAGATTTGGAAAAAAAGTCCTTTTCGCTGATGGCATTTTAAGCTGTGTCCAGCTCTTTGGCCAATGAATTTTAAAGAAGGAACTGAGTGAAAAGAATTATTGTTCCATTCCAATGACAAGGCCCCCATTCTTTCTCTTCTGAGTATCCTGACACAGATGGCATCCCCTGTGGAATAATTTAAGGGACTCTAAAATGTGTCACTCTTTAGGCCAAAATGATTTCTAATCCTCACTAATAGAGCAAACGGTAGAATGTGTCCAGAAAACCTCCTTATTAAAAAAAGAAAACCAACAACATTAATCAGAAACAATAAAACAAAAAACTCATGGGCCTCTAGAGCCCACCAGCCCCACACTTGCCTCGACAGGTCCTGAAGTAGGGCAGGATTTGGGACTGGGCACGGGTTGGCCCACTTGTGTCAGAAAGACTCTGGAACACAGAGTTCTGTGGCAGAGATGTGGGAAAAGGACGCAGGCGCTGGCCACAGGCAGAAACCCCAGAGCAGGAAAAAGTAAACTGTATCCCTTATAATTCCCCTGGCACTAGTCCAGAGTTTGACTCATGATAAGGATCATCACTCAGAGTTCTGCTTACCTTCTCGTTAGTTTGATTTTTCCTCCCAGATGCTCTGTAAACATACTTAAAAATATAATACCCATGTTTCTCATGGTGACCCTTGTACGTTATCTACAAAAATACAACATTATATTAAGATGGATTTATCTCTCACTTAGAAGTTTCCTGCTCTCTTTTTGATGGTACAGATTATTTTTAAACATTGAAGTCTAATTCTCCATCTAACGAATGACAGTATTTCCTACAACCACAGGAGGGCGAATGTCAACCAGTCCTCGAAGACTGTAACGCATTCCTCTGTTTTCCATCTATCTCTAAATTAGTTTTCCCTAAGGATGACTATCAACTGCCCTCTTTCCCAGGATGTATAAATTTGATTACCAAATTTCAATAGAAATGGAGCACTTGGAAATATTTTCAGGTGGGAGGAGGCAGGGGGATTAGAAGAAAGGCAGATTTTACAGTATAAATGTCTGATGTCAAAATGGCAAAACTCACAGCATGAAAATTCAGGCAGGCCCTTATGTTTTCAGTTTTTGCCTTTGTAATTTTCAGCTGAGATGGAGAACAGAAGATTGTTATTTCTTGGAACAGAATTTTCTGAGACTGCCAGAAGAAACCATGGCAGGCAGAAGTAAGCTGCAATTTGGTGACCTGAAAAGCTGAGGGAATTGGTTTAACTTTGGTGTTTATGGAAAACTGCCTCCTTGTAAACAGAATTCCCTATTAAGACTTATTAATGTTCTTGTCTTTGTTTTTTCCCTCATGTATTACTTTGTTCTCATGTATATGTGTAGAAACAATATCCCAAATTTTTTACTCACTTATCCCTCTGAAAGAAGAAATCATAGTAAAAAGAAATCTCCATTTCGAAAGCTTTTCTCTTTTATGTCACACATTGTGTGAATTCGAGTGCCAAAATTTTGCTGAATAATTTTGTATTTCCATTCTAAGTACACAAGAATATTTTGACAGTTAAAATTTTCCTCTGACGGACTTTTCCCTTTACAGAGTTAAAATGGATTTATTTGAGAAGAATAATTCTGTTTACCCTCTGTTCTTCTACACAGTCTTGCTTAGTTTTCTCAGTCTGTGGTTGAACCGTCTGAAAGGAAACAAGAAATAAAACTTAACCAAACATTCATTCTTCCATTTAATTCTTCAAACAGCAAGTCTTTTATTTTTGTCTCATTGGGTTATACTATTCAATGTGGAAGATCATTCTGACCAGAGGAGGATGGATACCCCACCACATTAATATTTGTTTCCGTATTACAAGAGCGCACCGGCGTTCCTCCTCTAGAAGGAGACAGCGCCATCCACCCCCTTACAGAACGCCATTCAAACCCCGTGGGGAACTGCCAGGCCACGGAAGCATGGTACTCCATGTAAAAAAGCTTGGCTGTCATCACTAACTGCTGAAAAAGGAGTTTTCACTGGAACACTGGGTTTTGTTTAGTCACTGAATCAAAATCAGAGTTCAGTGATGTGAACTTTGTGTACGTTAATTGTATAAATTCAGTAATTGCTATGTGAGGTAAGATAAGATACTGCTGGTTATGCTGCAAGAGTAAAACCATCACTCTGCACATAGAGGGAAGCACCACACCTAATGATGGAACTTTATTGTTGTCAGTCACCTGGACAGATGTTTCTTTCAGGGAAAGGAAAATGGAGTGACTTGCAAATTAGGACAAATACTTTCTCTTGGTCTGACATGAAAATGTCCAAATATCTTGAGGGTACCTGGGGGCAAGAGGTAGCTATTAAAGTAGAGAGAGGCCAGAAACTAAAAAGACATAGACCCAGGCATCTCGTTCCAAGCTTTTAGGCAAAAATGTAGGTGTCATGGTAGAACATGCAAAGGAAGACCTGAGAATCCTTGAGCAAGCTTGCCATGGAAGCAACAGACATACCAATTTTCACTCGCAGCATTTTTTTATTTCCATATTTATTTTTGAAACTCCTAGTTTACCTTAGATATGGTGAGAGGAACAGATGGGTAGGCTGGTTTGTGTATGAATGCCTGTGCTAAAGTGGTGGGAGTTGTGTAAGATAAAAACCCCTGACTAAGTCTTCAAGCTCTGTATTTCCTAGCCATAGATGATGAACAATTATCCTGCTTGCTTTCAGATACCATACTTCTGCTTTCTCTCTGATGATCCCCACAAACAACATGTCCTGAGCTCCTTTGCCATCTGGTTGCTGTCAGGGGTTGGCTGATGGGAGATCCGACCCGAGACTGAAAGGCAGAAGGAGAAAGAAGCCAAGGTATGTCCTTCCCTGCTGTCTCAGTTTGTGGCTGCATCTCTAGGATTGGAAGCATCTCTTTTGTGGTCGCAGTTCCTGTGGTCCTACCCCCGCACCCCTCCACCTCCACCCCAGGGCACTGAGAACACACCTCCTTCCTTGTCCCTCCAGCCCAAGGCATGGTAGTGTCTTCAATCTTTGTGTGACTTCATCACCCTTGATTTCCCCTTTTTGTTCATCCTGTACTTTATAACTATTCTCCTACTTAACTCCTGGTCATGAATTTGGTTTTCCTGACTCTACCTCAACTGATGAAATCATCTCAGAAATAAACTCAAAACTTTAGTCAAAGTGCTCCATTGGCTGAGCTCCAAGACAGATCTGCCTAACATTCCATTCTATTCCAGAAACAAAAATAGTCTGTTAGTCATAGATACATAGAACAAACTGGTGGTTGCCACAGGGGACGAGGTAGAGGGACAGGCAATATAAGTGAAGGGGATTAAGATGTACAATCTTTAAGTTACAAAATAAATGTCATAAGAATGTAATGGACAGCCTAGAGAATAGTCAATAATATAGCATGATAATAACTTTGTATGGTGACAGATGGTAACTAGATTTACCATAGTGATCATTTTATAATTATAAAAATATTGAATCATTATGTTGTAAGCCTGAAACTAAAATAATATTGTATGTCAATTATAATTCAGCTTTTAAAAGACAAATACACATTAAAGAAATAATGTAATATAATTTTATACTTACTGGATGGGGATCTAGAGGAAAAGGTAGTATGATACGTATTGGTGGTGAGAATGTTAAGATGCTTAGCATTTTGGGAAGAAAATATGGCAATATGTGTAAAAAAATACGTATTCCCATCTACTTAATACTTCTATTCTCAGAAACCTATCTATTATAAAAATAAAGGACAAATCCTGCCATAAAAATAAAAGTACAAATTTATATGAAAAAATTGTTTGTCAATGTTACCTTATATTTACATAGCATTTTACAATGTAAATTGCTTTCATATATGTGATCTCATCTGATTCCTATAACTCCTATGAAAAAGGAAGTAGAAGGAAAAAGAATTGCCTGCACTTACACAGCTAGTAGTAGCAGTGGAAGTAAAGGAGATATTTTGACTTAAATCCTCTGTCTCAAAGTCCCAGGGCTAAAGTAATTTTTAAATGGCCTGATATATGAAAAAACATATTTAATAATAAAAAGAAATATTTTTGTAGTTTATATTAAGTCCCTTCAGGCATATTTTATAATTTTTACTGCCTTTTTATGTTGGTTCTTCTATGATCTTGTGCATATAAATTTAGATCATTGCATCATTTCTCAAAAATATCAAAATAGTAAAAACACCTGGAAATGGGGCTACAGGAAAAAGGAAACATAAAAATTAGGTGGGTAGATATTAATTTTAAAAATAAATGACAGTTTGGGGTATTTGGCATCTTTTTACAGAACATAACACATGTACATGTATTAAAAACATATCTGATGGTTTAGAGTACCTCACTATAGTTCACAATAAAAAATCATGAAGTTACAACCAAGTAACTTATAACAAAGTCTTTATAGTCTAATTGCATATTGATGACTATTAATTAAATTGCATGGCCCAAAAATCATTTATTTTTTCAATTTCTAAATTTTGTTTTTGAAGGAAACCATAATGGTACCTCCAAATATGCTTCTTTGCTGAAAGCATTTAAAAAGTAGTAAGCAGAAAAAGTTCTTCTGCGTAAAGGCAGGAAATAAATTTTCCTTTTCCTGGAGACAAATTCTTACCAATCCAGAGACCACACCAGGGGAACCTGCAAATAAACTTTGTTAAACTAAAGCTGATCTTACATGAGGAAGAACAGGATTTCTTAGCCCTAGCCAGACTACCTCTAGCCCAAAACTTCCTGTCCTGTCAATTCTTCATAAATTTATTGTTTCTTTGCCTAAAAGTTATAAAAGCTTCTTGCTCTGGACACTTCTTCAAGTCTTCATTCTCTTGTGAAAGCTCCCATGCACATGTAAGTCTTCAGTAAAACTTGTATGCTTTTCTCCTGTTACTATGTCCTTGTCATTTTAATTTTCAGACCCAGCCAGGACTCTAGGAAAGTCAAGGAAAACTTTTTGATCCCCTACAGTATGAATTTGCATTCTAGTTCCAAAACATGTAAATGATACAATATATACCAGTTTCTGAGTCCAACAACCTATTATGTAAAAATTTAAGTAATGCTCAAGAAGAATCTATATATCTAGGAGAAAATATCATATTTAGCCATTTGTAAGTCTAAATTGTGTCTCTATGTCTTTGCAAAACCTCTTTCATTTAAAATATGCATCCCTCCTTTTCCCCTACCCCCTACCCGGTACCCGCTCGGGGGTTCTCTCAGGCTTGAATGTGGCCCTGTAATGGAGATGGCATTGTCTCACTCTGGGGAGCAACAGTGACACCTGATTTTGACCAGTGGTCACTGGATTGATGTTGACATAGCACATTTACTGGAAAATGGATGGAGAGTGCCTCTCCAGCTGTGTGCCGGACTGTGTAGCTCAAAATAGATTCATCCTAGGCTAGTGGGGTTGAGCTGGGTCAGCAAGGCCTTCTCGATCCCCATCACACCTGAGCACATGCCTCTGTGGCCCTGATGGAGCTAAGCCATGGGGACTGGGCCTGGCTGATGTGTATTTTAAGAGGAGTGGCCCCCACAGGACTGTCAGAGGCTGTGAGCAGAAAGGGGACAAGCTTTCCTCAACTTCTGTTATTTTCACCCAATGACATGGTTCATGCTTGTCAGTGGGTTACCCAACTGGTCACCCACTTGCTCAGGACCTATATTTAAGTACTTCGGGCAACAGAGTGATCACTCATTTCCATGGTTGTCCAACTGAAAAGGTTAGTCTGGGAAGTTAGAATGCTTTCCAGACATTATGTAATTGACATTGTGTCTGCATTGCAGAAAATACCAGTAACACTCAGCATTTTCACAAGATAATTTAGTCACATCCTGAGTACTCATCTGGGTGAATCAGAGAGAAAAAGAGACACACAGGGAAATTGGGGCTTGATTTGGGTTAAGATTGGGGCACTTCCTCCCATCGTTAGCCTCACCAATGAAGAGAAACTCATTACCAGGATCTCACATTGAGGTGTTACAAGGATTATAGAAAAGTTCTGGTTCCTCTGTGTTGTCATGTATTTACAAAATCTAGTTGGTTAGCCTTAAATATTCAAGCCTTTTTTTTAAAGTTTTTAGTAAAATGTTGAAAAGTTCTTTTGACATGTTATAAATTGAGTCTCTGAGCTTTTACTCATTAACGTTAACTGATCTAAACACTGTGGCTGGCTATCAGTTTTCCCAAAAGTGCTCTTCCTGGTTTTTCTTAAAAGGCAACGTGTGGATATCTTGTAATTCAGCATATTTATTCAAGGTCTCCTTGGTGGCAGTCTTGGGTGTCAAGTGCCAGATGGTTTCTTTTTGCTTGGTACTTCATTATCACTCAACTAAGTAAGTGTTACTAATGTGAAAAGACATTGCTTAAGAGAAAAATAGATAAAGAGAGCAATAGATTTTTATGATGCATAACTAAAATCAGAAATGCTTACTGGTTCTGCCCAGGTCAGACAGAAAAGAAGTAGTCCCAGACAGACAATTTGCATCTTTGAGAATCTCTGTAAAAAGACAATATATATATTTTACCCTAAAGCATTGCTAATTACGAACTGCAACCCTAAGTATAAATACAACACAAAAGTATACAAACACTCTTTCCCTTACTAGTTGTTTTTTAAGGGAAAAAAAAATCCTATTTATAATTTACTTATATCCAAGTGTGGATACTTAAATATAAGTGCTGTCATTGGTCTAATTATCTCAATATGAAACTGAAATTGTCCGATATTATTAAGGCAATGAAATAAATTGTATAGACATTTATTTGCTTTATTGTCAGTCCAAACTTTTCTCTATTGTCTTTAGAAAGATTATTTAATTTATATAATTCATAATAACATTAAGTTAGTGTAGCAGCTTATAAGACACTCTCTAAATGATTTGCCAGGGAAGCAGTCTCTAGGGGGAGGAATATAATCCTGTCTGCTCCCAGCCCGGTGCCCCAATTTATGTCCTCATATTCATTAGCAATGTATCTGATCTAGCATTCATCCATGGGCTGGAGAGTGAAGCAATTTATGTAATATATGTATTAATAGCTAACATTTACTGAATACTAAAATGAGCCAAACACTGCTCTAAATATTTTACACGTATTCAATTAATTGAGCCTCATAATAACCTTGTGAGTTAGGTGGCATGCTATTCCTATTTTATAGATTAGGAAACAGACACAGAAAGTCAAATAACCTGCCCCAGAATTCTCAGAGGTAGAACTGAAAATTAGTAATCTGGCAATGTAGCTAGAGAGCTGGTGTCCTTAATCAAAACTTTGTACCACCTGGAAAATTTCTATTCTTTTACTTATTACAGAAAAGTCTACATGTAGTTGATTTATGGGCAAGTTATATTTTATATTGGGCTCAACACAATTATGTTTAAAACATTAACATTTAGCTGTGGATAAAGGTACATTTTTATCCTTTGGTAGATATATTGAGGAGATCTAGTTAGCTCGCTTAAGTGGCCACTAGCTTGAAAAAAAAAAGTGTGAACATAACCTTGGATCACTAATCCGTTGGTTTTGATAAATAATAAGTATTTTACTAACTACCACACAGATATATAGTAACCAATATGAGAAGAAGAAATTTACACCACTCTGAGAATACTGGGGGAAAATCACTTTTAATGGGAAAATAATCTAAATACTGTGGTAATCTTTAAACATTTCAAGGTAAAAACACTTTTATTTGGAGAAATATATATAACATTCATATATTCTAAAATCTTCGGCCATTCTCTTCAAAATCAATATAATTTTAAGAACCTTAATTCTAACTATAATGTAGTCATCCAAATGTTTTAGAGAACAGGACAGTACAAGTCAATTATTAAATGACTTAATGCTGAGAAATATCATCAAAGATGATACCAGCACAAATGAGGTTGGCAAGTATTAATAAGATAACGTTATCCTTATTCTGGTTTGTAAGTGAAGGTGTAGAGTAATATTAGAGTCTTTGTGTTATTGTGGATCTTGATAATGCTGACAGTCACATCAAAGAAAAATGGCCATCAATTTTAGTTGATAATTTCTAGAGCTTAGTAATGCACTTTCTATTTTATAAAACAAAGCACTAAATATTACACAGTTGTGCTCAGTAGAGAATACCTTCATGGTATTTATTTTCAAAAGTAATCTCTAGATCTGATTGGCATGCATCCTGAAAATGTCAACAATTACATTATAAAACTATCAAGAACATCAAGAAAGCCAAATTACCTGGTATCTTTTACCTTCAGAATACCTGGGTTCTTCTGCAGGCTTAGCAGTTTCTGGGCATTTTGCTGAAATTTAAAGTTTGTTTGAGTTCCCAATGACCAATCAGCATCACTTAGCACTTGCAGAAACAATTTGTTACCAGTGCCCACAGATAACCATAGGGGGCAAAGTAATTTTAATCTAAAAATGTTTTTGTGGTGGAAAGCTGCTATCAAATGTTCCAGAAAGTGGGATAAACAGAAAATATAAATACCTCAGTTTGGTATATCATGTTGTTGGATAATTAAAATTGATTTCAGATCTATTAAATAGGACTGACTGAATAACTAACAAGTTCATAAATGGAAAACATTTTAGTTATCTTTTATGTAGAAAGTTTATAATTTCAACTTTGTCTGAATTAAATTCAGCAACATCTATCAAAAATATTGAGTGCCTATTGTGTGACAGACATTGGGGAAACAGTGAACAAAACAGAAAAATAATCTCTGTCTTCATGGAGTTTATAATTTGGTGGGGTGTCATATAAACAGAGTAAATAAGTAAAATATATTACGCTAGATAGTGATACAGACTTAGTCTATGCTAAGCATTGCATGTAGGGAGTACAGGCACTAGGTTAAAATTTTAGGTAGGGAGTCCTGGGAAGGGCTCATGGAAAGGCTGACTTAGGAGTAAGACCTGTAGACATACCACTATCCAAGGGAAGAGCATCCTCTGCAGAAGGAAGCAGAAGAGGGAAGCCCAAAACAAGAGCCTGCTGGCTTATTCCAGAAACAGAGAAGAGATCAGTTTGGCCAAAGGGGCTGACAAGGGCAATAACAGGAAATGAGGTCAGAAAAGCATCAGATGGCAGATGATAAAGGGCCTACAGGTCATTTCAAGGCTTTGGCTTTACCTTAGATGAGAAGGAAGCCCTTGGAAGTTTTAGACAGAGGACTAAGTATGAGGGGGGAATGAAGTAGAAATAGGCAGAGACTGGCTAGGAAACTCTTCAAGTAACCTGAGGAAGAGCTGACTGGGACTTGAACCAGAGTGGAAGCAGAAAGGAAGCAGAGAAGTGGTTGTGTTTTGAATATATTTTGAATATATGTTTTGGATATATTTTGAAAGTACAGTGTTGCGAGCAATACTTTACCCTTATGAGTGTCTGCACTATAGTGTTTTCCATAAGCCAGCCCCCAGCCTTTGTCATGGACCAGAAACGCCAGGCCACCTATTCGGCCACCAGCCCTGCAGGTTACACTGGCACCAAGGAATAACAGGGAGCCAACACAGGTAACTATGCTATTCACTTAGCTATTATTAATGCAGATTCAATCCAAATCTGTAATAACCCAACGACAATAATAACCACTCAGAAACAATCAGCAATAACATCACACGAGACAGTTGGGGGATAAGAAACCCAAGTCCTGAGAGTCCAGATCAGGTCCTTGTCCAGGAGGTCAGCGTCTTGCAAGGCAGAGTTTGCCATGGCTTCAGAGCCAGCTAGAGCAGGCTTGATCAGGGCAGCAGAGCATCTCTCAGCCATCTCACCTCTTCTTGGCTGTCTCAGCTGGTTGAAGGTTTTTGCTTTCATACTATTGTAGGATGCAATGTTGCATCAGCTTTTGATTAACACATGTTGTTTTGTGCCACCTCAATAGCATATGTTGATTATGTCACTCCACTGTGCATGTTCTGAGAGGGTGGTGTTACCCTTCAGATAAGCACATGTTATCTACAATGTTGTACTGCCCCTGCTCGAGAGCTTGCATTATCCCCTTGAGTCCTTGCTCTACCGCACATGCTCTAAACATGGCTTCTTAGTTGACAGGACTGACACCATCGTAGTTCGGTCCTGCTCTCCACTTTAAGCCAATAGAATTTGTTGATGCATGAGATGTGAGTCATGAGAGAAAATCAAGAATGAAGAATGACACCAAGGACTTTGCTTTGAGCATCTGGTAGAATAAAGCTGACTTTTATTGACATGGGAAAACTGCAGAAGTGGTGTGGGGAGAAATGTTGAGAGTTTGGGTTTGGATATGAATGTATTTACATTAGAACTATATGTGAAACATCAAGAGAATTATTCAACTCATACCATGTGATAAGCACTACTCATAAACACAACTTTAACAGACTGTAAGTGATATCTAATGAGAGTTAAGTGTAAATTTCTAATTTCTCCTAACTTCCAAAACAGATTAAAAAAAATAGTCCTTGGCTAGCTTTAGCTGAGAGAATGGTGTCTTTTCTAGTTCAGCATAATCTTTATTTTTGCTTCATCCAAATTCTGAGGCTCCTCTTTTAAGTGTCTGTAGTTGGTTTTTAAAACAGTTGCCAAGACTAAAATTTGAGCTATTGAGCTGGGGTCACTATTGATTCACAATCACTCAACCATGAATTTTGGAGTATTTAAACATAGTCATTGACAATGGAAACATTTAACTTTATTAACTCTGGAATCAAACTTACCTGAGTTCAAACACTGACGTGCTGTGGTCAGTTGCTTAAGCAACTAAACTGAGCTTCTGTAAAACTGAATTTCTCCATCTGAAAGTAGGGGGAGCATAGTAATAAGCTAAATTTTCTTTGAATGATTACTCTGATCCAAGCATCATTCTAAATGTGGTGAATTAATTTATTTAATGTTTACAAGAACTCTATATTGTAGATACTGCTATTATCACCATGATTTTAGTGATGAGACATAAAGCAGTTAAGTGACTTGCTTAGGGTCACATATCTAGCAAATATTTAAAGTCAGAATTTGTAATTAAGCAAACTGACTTCAAAGTGAAGTTTGAAAACCATGACAATTTACTATCTCATAAAGTCAGCATAAATGTTAAATTGACAAATATCTATAAGGTGCTTAGCCCAGTATCTAATTTTAAATTAAATGATAAATAAATGAGAGCTATCCATCAGTCAGTTTTCCTATTATTAAATAATCTGGTATTCAGATAACATCCTTCTGTATCTCTTTCTGTCCTGTTTTCCTGCCATGTCTTCTTCTAGGATTTATTTGATAAGGGGGGAAGAAAATACTGAAGCAGCAAATAATAAATAAATAAATAATAGAGTTGAAGTTTAGGAGCAATTTCTCTAGACAGCATAAATATTAATGACCAGAATTAAAGCAAAACGCAAAGGATTTGGATGATACAGAAAGAGACTAACAAGGACATGGGAATAAAGGAGACAACAAGAAAGAGTGCTACAAGACTGAACAATAACAACAACAAAAAGCCATAGAAAGAGTAGACAGATGCAAATAGCACA